TTTAAATGAAAAGTACAGTTGTGTCACAGGTTAAATTTCATTGTGGTCCCAGCTAATATTGTTAGTGAGGAGAAAGCTGTATTAGTTTCCTTAGATACCAGGGTAGCAAAACTCACCATGCTTTGGAAGTCTTTCTATTGAAGAAATGTCTTTTCGTTTTCACCAGGGGACCTACCTACTGTTCTTGAGCTGATTCTGATTCAGAGCAGCCTGTAGGACAGAGTAGGTCTGCCCCACGGGGTTTCGAAGGTTGTAGATCTTTAGAAAAGTAGACTGCCACATCTTTCTCTTGTGGAGTGGCTGGTAGGTTCACACTGCTTGCCTTTTGTTTACTAGCCAAATGAACCACCAGTTTCTTTCAGAGGTAAGGATGTATTAAATAGATGAATATATATAAATAGGATGAACCTGGGCCAACTAAGTTTGTTGTTGCTAGATGCCTTTGAATCACTTCCAACTCATTGTATCCTCATGCGCACAACAGAAGGAAACATCGCCCAATTTAGTGCCATTCTTAAAATAGTTGCTGTGTTTGAGCTCATTGCTACAGCCACTGTGTCATTCATCTCAGTGAGAATCGTTCATTTGTGCTGACCCTCTATCAAATATCATGTCCTCCTCCAGTAACAGCACCTTCTTGATAACATGTCCAAAATACCTAAGATGCACTCACCATCCGGCAGCATTCTGGCTGTACTTCTTTCAAGACAGATTTGTTAGTTCTTCCGGCAGTCCATGGTATATTACTATTCTTCACCAGTACTATAATTCACAGGATTGGTTCTTCTTCAGTTTTCCCTGTGTATTGTCCAGTTTTCACATGCATATGAGGCAGTTGAACATATGTTACACCACACAAAAGCTGGTGAACGGCCATCTAAGGTACAGCTGTTGGTCTCTTCCTCTCTGGAGTGAAGAGCATTGAAGAAAATCAGTACATGGGGAGAGTTAGTTCATAGTAATGGTTGATCTTTTGAACCTCAATTATCAGGACACTTGGACTTAAAAGAATTAAATGGTGTCCAGCTACCACTGATAACTGCTTTGGAAGAGATCACATTAGAGGGTCCTTGGACAGAGAGGAAGGTAAATTTAGAACTCAGAATCACAATATTGTCCAGGCTTACTGGCCTCACAGAAATCCTTGAGACTATGGTGCTTAGCCACCCTTTGAGCTGGAGTTGAACACACACCTCTGGCACAACTTGTAGCTAAACAGTAGGCAAATCTATAGGATGATCAATAACCACGGAGATACTCAACCCTTACACACTTAGATACTCATCCTGTCAGCCAGACAGGATCACAAAGGCATTGTATATCCAAGGATAAAACTCCATTGATAGGAAGGGGGAGGATGGAGGGATGAATGGTAACAAAAACAAAAGTGAGAGTGGGAAGAGTGATAAGATACAGTGTGGTTATGTGCCCTCTAGTTGGAACTGACTCATAGCTGAGCCACTAGCAGATTTCCAGAGGCTATAAATTGTACAAGAAGTGATTGCCCATCTTTTTCCTTCAGAGCCACTGGTCGATACAAATTGCATGCCTTTGTGTTGGCAGTGCAGCTCCTTACACACTAGGCCACCAGAGCTCCCTTAATATAATATAGTGACTATAATCAGTGTCATAAAATATGTGTGAATATTTGACTAGATTATCAGTCTGCTCTGTAAATATTCACTCAAATCATCATAAAAAGAAAAGAAAGTACCTGGCTTGAGGCAGGCTTACCTTAGTCCTCAAAGTGATAACATCCTTGCTTTTTAACACTTTCAGGAAGTCGTCAGCAGATTTGCCCAATACAGTATGATGTTTGATTTTTTTCGCTGCTACTTCCATCTTTTTTTACCATCTATCAATGTCTATCTGTGTTTCATTGCTTATGCAAGGGTGTTTGACTGTGTGTATCACAACAAACTGTGGCTGACTCTGAGAAGAATGGGAATCCCAGAACACTTGATCATGCTAATTCAAAACCTATACCTGGACCAAGAGGCATTTATCAGAACACAGCAAGAAAACACTGCATGGTTCAAAATTGGGAAGGGTGTACGCCAGGGATGTGTCCTATCTCCATACCTTTTCAACCTATATGCAGAACAGATTGTCTGGGAGGGTGAGGTGTATGAGAAGTATGGCATCAGGATTGGATGACACAACACAGCTGGCTGAAACTGAGGAGGACCTGAGGAGGACCCGAAGCGCTTGTTGCAGAAGGTCAAGGACTACAGCCTTCAATATGGATTGAGGCTCAATATCAAGAAGACAAAGATTCTTGCCACTGGACTAATTGGCAGCATCATGAGGGATGGTGAAGAGACTGAGATTGTTAACAGCTTTAGTTTGCTTGGCTCTACAGTCCACACTCTGGGCACCAGCAGCCAGGAAATTAAAAGATGTGTTGCAGTGGGAAAATCTGTTGTTAGGGACCTTTCCAAAGCACTGAAGAGCAATGTTGTCGCTCTGGAGACTAAGGTGTGTCTGATCCAGGCCATCAGAGAGCTAGACAGTGACTAGGGAGGATAGAAGGATAATTGATTCCTTTGAGCTGTGGTGTTGGAGAAGAGTATTGAATGTACCATGGAGTCCTAAGAAAGTAAACAGATTCATCCTGGAGATGGTTAAACCAGGCTGCTCTTTGGAGGCAGGGATTCTGAAGCTTCATCTGACATACTTTGGACATGTTGCAAGAAGGGCCCAGTCCTTGGAGAAGGCTGTCATGCTTGGGAGGGTGGAGGGACGGCACAGGAGGGGAAGACCCTCTATGAGGTAGATTGATTCAGTGACAGGGGTAATCAGCGTGGGTGTGTCGAAGACAGTGAAATTGGCACAGGACAGAGTAGGGTTTAGGGCTGTTGTACATAGGGTCGCTGTGAGTCACAGGTGACTTGATGGCACATAACATGTCAACAACAAGAATATCTTGAATATTGTTTGAGGGGCCAACATGTATGTTTATGTACTTCATTTTTCTTTTCTATTCCATTCAGAACGCTCTCAACTTGACTTTCTTTGTGGGCAGTGAGAGGCCCAAGGAATTAAAAATCAGTGACTAAATTTCTTCGCTGCCTTGGAAAAAGTGCTGTCAGCATGCTCTTTGGAGGCAAGAATGTTGAGGCTTCTCAAATACTCTGGATATCTTGCTAGGAGACATAATGGGATTGAAATGGGACACCATTCTAGGAAGAATAGAGGATCAGTGCAAGAGAGGAAGACCTTCAGTGAGAGGGATTGACATGGTAACTACAGCAAAAGGCTCAAGTGTGCCAGAGATTAAGAGGATGGCACAGAATAGGGCAGAGTTCAGATCTGCTGTTCATAGGGTCACTATAAGTTGTAGTTAACTTGACAACACCTAGCAACCACCACCTTTCTTCACAGTGAGAGGAGAGAGATCACTTAGTCTAAGCAACAGCCTGGATCATCTTTTTCTTCTCAGCCTTGAAATATTCCTGCCTCTTGTTTTTATTCTTGGGAATGTCTATCACTTTTTCTTTGGGGATCAGCCCAGGGTGGCCAGACAGCAGCCAGATCCTTTAGATTTCCCTGGATTTCAAGGTTCTTACTGGCTTGATTTGGTCTTCAGTCTTGTTGGGATGTGTTGGATCGAAATAGATGCTTTAAAACCAATTCCAGTTGTAGTGAACATGCTTTGAGGAGAGAAAACCTGGCTGTCCTGGGGTTGTCAAGAAGGTTGACTGTTTCTCCTCTTGTCTTTTCACCCATTTATTTCCCAAGCACAGTCAGGTGTCACCAGCTTCTGTGGTGTTTCTCTAGGCTGTCGTTGGGGAGAACTAATTTGCCTTGATTTTAGAGATGCTGAAAAGATCCTCTCCAGAATGGCAACTTAGCTGAGCAGTGCCATCAGAACTGACAGTTGGGGCCACCAAGTAGGCATAGCTCACACCCTTCTCTCTCTGCAGTGGAGATGTTTTCCACAAGCTAATTTTACTTGCAGGATTTTGCTTTTATTTTTTTTTTTTTATTATTTCCTATTTGTCTCTTCCAGATGTTTTCAGGGCAGTTTTTTTTTTGTGTTGTAAACTAATTCCATTCATGTTTTAAAAATTTATGAAAGCGCTAATAAAAATGTCAAAGTGGTAAAAATGTTAGCTTTTCCTCTGCTTTGATTAAATTTTGCAAACTGTTTTTGAATATTAAAAAGCCATAATTTTTTTTATTCTCTCTCCTTGCTTTCCCTCTCCTCTCTGGTGCGTGTGCTCTGTCCTGCCCTCTCCCCCCTCTGGTGCGTTCCTCCCTTCCCAGGAGCGATGTATGAGGCGTGCTGCACAGCCAGCGTTCTGCAAGCCTGTTTGCACACCAGGACCTTGGTGCTGTGCATCTCTATTAAATAACGGAGACAAATTAATCTTAGAGACACCAAACAAATTGTCACTCCTCCTCTTTCTTTTCCATTACGTTCCAGTGGACTGGGAAGGGCTGGCTAAGCGATTGGGAGGGAGGTTGGGGGGGAGGGCGAACTGCCTGAAAGAAAGGTGGGAGGCACTGGCTTCTATTACTCTTACTCAGTTTTCTCTTTAGTATTCCCTTTAGCTTTATTTATTATTTATATTTTTTAGAAAAACTTGAAGAAACTCACTGGCTCTGTTTGAAGTTTATGGGGAAGGGTCTTTGCACTGATGAGGGCTAGGTGTCTACATGGCTGAAGATGCAGGTCCATTCTAAAAGACGGATACTGGGCAAGGGGAAGGAGGCCTTATTTAGCGACTCACGTGAACAGGCATCTAGGGGAAGTTAGAGCAGATTGTGCCTTTATCTGTCTTTTCCTTTCCAGAGAAAATGGGGGTCAGGATGGGCCAGTCCCTAGAACCTGATCAGTGAGAGAGTTAGCATTTTAACTACACTGGCACCATCTCACTCAGTCTTAGATTAGTCCTGACAGGAGAATGAAAATTCTCAATTTTGACTCTAAATTATTAATTGAAAAGGTTTTATTAGAATAACTTATTCTTCCTCTTGTTTCTTTACCATTCCAGGAAATCATCGAGTTTCCCATCTTGAAGCTAAATGGTCGGACCATGGAGATTGAGTCTACCTTTCATATGTATGTCCAGCCTGTAGTCCATCCACAGCTTACCCCCTTCTGTACAGAGGTAAGAGCTCTGGAAATGGGAAGCAAAAGTTGCTGGGAGAGGGGCTTTTAGACCATTGCTGCTCTGTAGAGATCACTTAGAGAAAGCTTCATTTTATCAGTGGTTACACCCAGTGCACACTGAAGCCAGCAGTTGGCTACCACACTGCTGTGGCCCCTGTGGACTTGGAAGTTGCAGTGGCACCATCTAGATTAGTTTCACATTTTTCCATCCCCTGCTGTCCCTGCACTTGTATCTATACACTTGTGACCACGAACTTAGATCTGAGAGCAAGATGCTGTTTCTGGGCCTTAGACTCTTTCTGATTCCATTTCCCTTGATCTTGGCAGCCATTTTTCTGAGAAGTGAAAATTTCAGCTATTTGGAAGGAGAGATTATGCTCATTTTTAGCCTTCTGGTGATATTACCTCTCCTTCTGCAAAATGGCTCTGTGTTAGGCATAGGTCGGCTTTGTGGAACACATCCTGCTCTGTCACCAATGAAAGAGAAGGGCAGTCACCGTAAGCTGAAATATCCTTACCCTTGTCTAGTACAGTGATCTGCCACCTTGTGAGCACATAAATATTGGCCCCGTATGATGTGTTATTTACATTTTATATTGCATTTTCTCAGCCCCTGAATGTTCTGACTCTTAGTACCATGTGGAAAAGCCTTCTGTGTCTGCTTTCCACTGTCCTGCATCATGTTTTATGTTCTCTGTCATGACAAAAGGCTGTAGTAGAATACTGGTCAAGAATACATAGTAGCAGAAGTGATGGAATCATAAAAGAGTGTCTGGAATCTTTAAAGAATTTGGAGCTGGGTTTCATTAGAGATTTTTTTGCCTTCAATTTGCAATGTGCTGCCAACTCAAAAGCGTGCAGATCAACTCTAGCTTCTCTACCTGAGAAGATGGGCATTCTCCTCCCCTGAAATTTACAGCCTCTGAAAACCCACTAGAGGATCAACTATGGGTTGATGCTAACTTGAGGGCACATACCAACAACAGCTTCTATTTTTGAATGAAATAGGAGGAAAGGGGTTCTTGAGTAATTTCCAGGCAATCTCTTTTGTATGGAAGAAGTTGAAGAAGGACCTGAATGAGCCTGAAGGGAAAATTTACAGGAATCTAAGACTGACTGAGTTTAAGTACGAGGTCTTGAGGATTATGCCGGAACTTGATGCCAGCATTTTCCACCTGACCGAGGTCGGCCTTTTGAAGGCATCCACCTGCCAAGGACATTGCTTATAAATCAAGTATTTAGTTTCTTCAGGCAATTCCTGTTTCGACTAATGAAGTTGGGTTCTTGTTCCCTCTGTGGCCTCCTGGATGCTCCCTCTTTCCCAGGTGAATTACCTATACCACCAGGGGGCGCTAATTTATCCTTTTTGCCCCTTTTGAAAAACCCCTGTTTTAATGATAAAGAAAAAATCTCCTTCCTTATGGGAAGAGAAGGAAAGACTTTCCTTAAACTAATCCATCGTCTGACCTCTCCATTGACTTATAGTCAGTGGACCTATAGTGTCAGATTGTCTGTTAACAATATATAGAATGGGACCATTACATACCTGCTGACAAGGTAGCAGAGTATAGTGCCAGTTTAGGGTAAGGATATTTCAGTCTGCTGCCCTTCTTCCTCTTTCTATGTAGCCTGCTACTTGGAGCTACCAGGTTTCAACTCTAGACTCAGGCCAATAGACTGGCAGATCCAAATTTTTGAAAGATTGCTGTTTGCCTAGGAATGGAAAGTAGTTCTGCTAGAGCTCAGCCCTGAGTAGGAGTTTGAGAGTACTGGGGAGGAAGGGAATTTTTTTCAGAGCAAGATTGTTATTGCCGTGTGTGTGTGTGTGTGTGTGTGTGAGAGAGAGAGAGAGAGAGAGAGAGAGAGAGAGAGAGAGAATATGCTGTTAACTGTAATTCTTTTTTCACGTATGTATGTATTTTGGAGTGTAGTAGGAAAGATCGCATTAGAATCCTTGTTATGAAGCCCTGTATGCAAGTGTAGATGTAGTTGTAGGCACTAAGTCGTCTACCTCTTTGTCTCGGGCTTCTTGAGTGCAAAGCTCTCAATGATCTGGTCTCCACTTTTACCTCCAGCTGCATGTCTCCCACTTCACTTCCTGTAGCCAGAGGTTACCTTTTCATAATCAGCCTGCAAATTGCACTCATTCTCTGCCCCATATTTCCTTCTCCAGGACTCTGTCAGTCCTTTCTTGACCTTCAGGCTGGGCTCTACTTTCTCCAACATATCACCAATCAGATACTTTGTTGTTAGGTGCCTGTTGAGTTCAGTGCAACTCATAGTGACTCTTTGAGTAACAGATCTAAACCCTGTCCTATCCTATGCCACCCTCATCATCTCTGACATACTTGAGCCCTTTGCTGCAGTCACTGTATCATTCCACCTCCCTGAGGGTCTTCCTCTCTTTTGCTGACCCTCCACCTTTCCAAACATGATGTCCTTTTCCAAGGACTGGCCCCTCCTGATAACATACCCAAAGTATGTGAGATGAAGGCTCACCTTCCTCGCCTCTAATCTAACCTGGTTGTACTTCCTTCAGGACAGACTTGTTTGTTGTCTTGGCAGTCCATGAGATAATTAGTACTCTTCTAGAACTCTCCAACTCAAATGTATACCATAGTATATGGTAATTTATTTTTTTGTCACCCCTTTGGACTATGAATTCCTCGAAGGTAGGAAATTGAACTGATTTGTCTCTGTCTTATTTTTAGGGTCTGATATTAAATAAATGCTTACCCTTGTTGTTACTGTTATCAGGTATCATTGCATTGGCTCTGATTTATAGTGACCCTGTATACAAGAGCATGAAACTCTGTAGTGTCCCAACAGTATCTGCCATACTTACGTCCATTATTTTAGTCATTGAGTCAGTCCATCTCACTGAGAGGCCTCCTCTTTTTTGCTGACCTCCTATTTTCCAAGCATGATGTTCCTCTCCAGGAACTGGCGTCTCCTGATAACTACCCAGAGTATGTAAGGCTCACCATCCTCGCTTCTAAAAAGCACTCTGGCTGCATTTCTTCTAAGACAGAGTTGCTTATTCTTTTGGTAGTATATTCAATATTCTATTCACTGTATTTAATATTCTTTGCCATCACCACAGTTCAAAGATCAATTCTTTGGTCTTCCATATTCATTGTCCAACTTTCTAATGCATAGGAAGCATATGAAGAATGCCGTGGCTTGGGGCAGGTGCACCTTAGTCTTTACAGTACCATAGTTGATCTTTATCACTTCATATAGGTTCCTCACAGCAGATTTGCCCAATGGCACTATTTAATATCTGTTCCTTAAATTAAATGAATATTGTCAAGAAATTATTTAATCCTATCTCGCCTTCTCCAAAAACCATCTATACCATTGATTTGTTCTTTAGTGGAAGTTTATGTACTCTTGTTCAGAAAACCTTGAATCATCTAAATAATTGATCTGTCTGCATACCAGATGGGATTCTATCACTGAGAAAGGCATGGACATAAGATGGTGACCAGAATTCTGAGAGTTCATCTAATCTGGCAGTACCTGTCTTTGAGGAGGAGTTCGGTCATTCCAACCAGAGGGATTTTGTGTTTGAGGAGTGACCCCAAACTTTCAGATTTTGTCTAAATAACTCTTGTTGTGTACCGTAGAGTTGGAACCAACCCATACAGAGGCAGTTAATGGCATGAGAGGAGATTATCCATCCTTCTCCTATGGAGCTGCTGGTGGCCTTGAACCCATGCCTTCAGGAATGCACCACAGTTTCTTGCCAGCTCTTATGACAGATATTCTGTCTTGTACATGAAGTTCTTAGAGAATCCTAATCTTTGTATATATGTTAAGGTTCTCTAGGTGAGGAGAGAGTAGGATGCTCTGTTCTGGGAGCAGGAGGATTCTGCCTTGAGCAAGTCTTTAGTTCACATACAGATGCTCTTTTACTGCCCTGTGTAATGAACATGTTATTAGCTTTCTAGAGACCCTTTTCTTATTTCCAGTTGATAGTCTGCCGGGAGACATGGTTGTAGCAGAGATAGGATGAGGTGTATTTCTTTTGCTCCTAAGCCTTTCCCCTACCACCTCTAGAATCTGCTCCTGCTCATCTGAACTCTGTCCCCAACAGCTGAGCTGCTGCATAGTCCCTGACCATGTGCAGTCTTTTTTATGCTGTTACTGTTGTTAAAAAAAAAAAAGAACCCTAGGGGGGAAAAAAATACCCATTTTGCTAAACGCCAGTAAAGGGCTTTGTCTTGCACCTGTACTTATAAAGGGTGAGATTTATTGGCCTCTTTGTCTGAGGAGAAAGAGTGGGTCTGATTATCAGATTGCACACCAGAGACAAGTGCTTATGTAATCAACAAACTGTCTTGGTGTCAGAATATGATTGTGTTGGAGATAAACTGTGAAAGGAGAAAGCGCTGGAAGCTGACATGATATTGGCACCGAGCTTCCTAGGCTGCTTCCTATAGTTGCTAGTGTTTATGATGAAGCCAGCCTGTTCCAGGACAAAGCCCTGGTGCGGGTGGGGAAGCTCAGTAACCAGTCATGTTATCAGTCAGGGTCAAAAGCCCCTTGCCTTGTGGTTTCCGAGACTGGAGAAGCGGGAGTTAATCTGTAATCCCTCAGTGAAAGGAGCCACAGAGCACACATTAATTCTTCTTCTCACCTCTCTTGCTTTAAGTGTTTAAGGTCTCTGAGCTCTGTTTAGCCTGTGAGCCCTGGTTCTCAGCTTAATTATACTTGGCTTTGCTCTAGCACCTTTCATCCTGGGGATGTGAAAACTGTTTACAAACATGTATTAACCCAAGTGGGAATGGGCTTAAGCCACAGTGTGAAGGATTTAAATCAGGCCTAGGTAGAACTTCCTAGTATTAATTTTATACAATTATGTCTCTTTTGTGTATCTTCTTATTTAAGTATTATAGACAATCTTATAGGATATCAGTATGAAGTATAGGTGATAATTTCATCCCCCTCCCTTCATCCAGTGCCATGTCAGACCCAAAGAGTAAGACTTGACGTGTGCTTGGAGGGATTAATTCCGAGGGGTGAGGCCTCCGCCTAGAAGTGTGCCTCTGGTTGACCCATTAGGTCAAGCACCTGTGATTTGGGAGGATTGAGTTGAAAGTCCTCTAGGAGTTCAACGTAAGGCCATGTTTCTCTGGGCCATGAGTAAAAATAACTTGCTTTCTAAGAAACATGTACAGATAGGGTACTGACCTGACTAGGCTCCCCCGGGCTGATGTTTCCAGTATTATGGACCTGAGGGTAGAGTCTGTGAAAACCTCGGGGTCATAGAACCTCCTGAGTGAGGGGAGAGAGAGGCGCCTACTCTGCCTTGAGAGCCCTGGCAGCAGGACATTAGAATAGCACTCCAGTTTCCTGTTTTGTATGGTGATTTACTCATCTCACATCAGTCATTTGTCCTGGAGCCCAGAGCAAGTGATTATGGGGTATGCAGGTACTTAGCTAAGCCCCATCTCCAAGAAAGGAGGGTTCTTAGCAGGATGTCATTTGTTTCCTATATTGGTGGAACTTCTTGAAGTCCTTCAGTGTTCAGTTCATCTGAGTTACCCTAGGGTTAGTGGGAGCCAAGGGAAGGAGTAGACCTCACTTTGCTCTGTACACTCAGACCAGACACAGACTGACTTTTGGACCCTGTAGCTTTCTAAAAAGTGAGAGTGGCTTCAGGGCTCTTTGCTAGCATAGTCTTGACCCTAACTCCAAGCTGGAGATGTTACTCAGAACTTAGCAGGAGAGAATCTGGACCAGAATATGGGTAGTGGTGAATGCATAGCATCAGCCAGGAGGCTGAGTGTTGGGACCAGGATATGGGAGCTAGCTTACTCTGACTTTGGACTCTATATGCCTAGGACAGAACACCTCAGTATGAGCTGTAGCAGGTAGTGTACAGACTCAGTGCTGGCTGGCCAATACATAGGAGAGGGCAGCTACAAGAAGGCATATTCTTGAGCAGGATTTTTATGTCTTATAACATTGGAGCCCTGCTTCCTAGAATTGGGCTCTCAACAGTTGCAGGTTCGCTGTGAATAGTTGTTGACTAAATAAGACTCTTGCACTTAAAGACTAAAGCTGCTAGCCCAGGACACTTCCCCATCCCCACTTTCCCTAACCTTCAGTGGTCTATCTTTTCTTCTCCTTGACTCAGGCCCTCCCTCTGCTGGGCAGTCTTTTGGTCTCTCAAGCAAGCAAAGGGTGTGGAGGTACCAGCCGGGTGGGCATGCTGTGGGTTAAAGCCTTGCAAAACAACAGTGTAGTTAATCTTTCTAATTTATTTTCCTTTTAGACCATGGGAAGTCTGTAGGCAGCAGCTGTTACCCAATTAAAATACAGATTAATATAAAAACAGTTTCTGGAATATAAAATAGAGTGGCTGTGTCCTTACACTTCCTTAAAATACCACCTAATAATGACTTGATGAACTACAGAAACCCACCTAGAGGAACTCAGCGTTCTTAAAATGAAAATTTCTTCCCTAAAAGGTGTGTATTACCATTCCATGTAAGTCACTATGAGAAAATAACCTTCCCTCTTAGAGCCTGTGGTTTCTGTGAGTTGGGTATTTGATATTCATTAAATGTAATTATAGTTTAATTGGAGTTTAATTCACCCCCTCAAAAATAGAAAGTTTCAAAGCCAGCCCGGATGCTACTCATTCTGGAAGTAGCCAGAGGCATGTTGGGCATGGCAATTTTTAGCTGCTGTCCAGGACTGTGGATGGGGACCTTGTGGCTCAGATCCTGAAGGCAGCCTATCCCTAGGCTGTACTTGAGGGAGACTTTGACAACAAAACAACAATGTGCACAATAAGGACTGACCTGGAAGTAGTAGCATTGTTCTGAGCAGAGATTTATTAGTCAGAAATTCTCTGGACCAAATTCTATACATGTGCTTTCTTATTTTTCTCCTTTATTAGAGGTGACTCTTTCTTCTTTATGAGTTGGTGTTAAGGACCTGGGTGTTCAGGGTGGAAGGCAGATTCCTTGGGACTCCCTCGAGCCCTCCCATGATTTTAGAGAATGTGGCATGGGGGAACTGTTAGACCATGAAGCTCAGAGCAGAAATGGCCTTGAAACCAGAGCACTCTCCAAGTTTTGCAGGAACTTTGATGAAGCTTTGACTAAAATTTATACTATAAATTATGGGATGTTTTCGAGCCAGTTGACCACAAAATACATATAAAATCAGTATTTTATTTTGTGTGTGTGTGTGTGTGTGTGTGTGTGTGTGTGACAAAGTAAAGCTTAGACAGCTCTGAGACATACTCTGTAGTCAGCTTGTGTATGTGTACCTGCATCTCAGGACAAGATTTGTTAGGGAAGGTTCACATTATGTCCTGGGACTCTATTCCCAAGGCTTCTGGACCAGTTCTGAACCAAAAGCAACCAGAGCCCTTTATAAAAGAAGAAGAAAAATGGAAAAGAAAAAAATCCAATATAACTTTTTGAGTCCCTACACCTTGCTTTTTCACACCCATTGGTTATTTCTCTTTCTTTACAGCTCACTGGGATTATTCAAGCCATGGTGGATGGTCAGCCAAGCCTGCAGCAAGTGCTGGAGGTAGGTTGAGTGACCTTTAATTCTTGACCTGTGACCCCCTGCTCACTGCCTCTCTCTCCCTCCCCTCCTGAGAATGTAGCCGTGTAATTTGACTATGATTATGGCTTGATTAGAATAACATTTGCTGTCACATCAGTGACATGCTGTTGAGAGTATTGAACCATTGATCTGTCATCTCCAGCTGTTCCCGTCAGGGTTACTGACAAGATGTCCGAGTGCTGCCAGGAGTTGGGTGCAGGGCCCCCCACCCCCTTCTGGCCCATTGCCCTGTGCTGGCCAGTTCTGAGGCAGCTCTGTGCTGGGGGTGGGAGAGTAGGAAGCTGAGCTGTGGGACTAGCCCCAGGAACTGGAGGTGTTTTTGTTTAGCTTTCCCGTTAGCTCCTTTTGGCATGTGAGCACTTCATTAACTCCCCCAGAACTCCCCATCGATGGCTTTTGTTTGCTGTCAGCTCCTTTAGGAGGTGCGGCTGGGCCCGCCTGCCCACTGCAGCTTGCCGCTGGATGTATTGTGCCTGTCGGGTGCAGAGCCTGCACTGGGTAATGATTTCTAATCAGAATAATTACGAATGCCTATGTGAGGAAAATCAAATTAAAGGCTTTAGGACCGTTGGCAGAGACTACTCTTCTAAGTTGTTCTCCTTAGGGAGCTAGAAAAGGTTAAGATGCTGCTGCTTATTCGCCAGCCCAAGGGAATAAGAAAGTGTGGTGCTTGGCCTCAGTTTGTCTCCCACCCTCTCTGGCCTGGAGCTTCCAAAGAGAGCTAAGGTCCTGCCCCTTTCTTCTTTATCGGGGAAAGGGAGAAAAGAACAAGCTGTGGGTTTTGTCAGGTGCTTTATTTTTTAAAACATACAAACCTAAAACTCAGACCCCATAAAGCATAAGAGAAAGCAGGCTATCTAGGAGGAATGGCAGGACATGTCTACCTTGGAGGACTAATCAGCCTGGAGGAAATGGCAAAGTGGTAGGAGGAGGAAGAAGATCTCTTTCTTTAGGTAAGATAGCCTGTCCCATGGGAGAGAGGTGCAAGTTGAATTTCCTGGAACTTTGCAGGATAGAAGGAGAGCCAGAGTGAAGATTTAAGCTCATTGTAGTAGCATGGTATGTTCCTTGTCTTTGGAAGTGTGTAACCCCAGGCTCAGTGACCAGTCAAGTTTAAGGTACCTACAATACTCAGAGAGAAAGAGCTCTGAGAACTTTCCAGCCCCGTTGGCCTTTATTTTTCTTTTTTAGGAGAATGAGTGAAGTGATTTCTTAACATGAATACCTCCATATAAGACCAGATCCCAGAAGAGAAAGAGGACCCAGTTATCCTGATGGTCCAACCAGCATCCCCAGCCAGGAATTGGAACCTGAGGAAGGGCAGAGTATAGAGACATCCCCCAGGATGTCTCTGGCTGGGATCTTGGAAGAAGGGACTCTTGCTTTGAGTGAACATCAAACTATTGAGGTGAATAGGGATTTTTCTCAGTGGCCCCAGTTGAAGAGGAGATGTGATCTGCGGAAGTGTCCTCCACCTGACCCCAGATCAACGCTGGGCCAGGTGCTCAGAGAATTGTGTATGTCACTCACCCTAGAAGCTACTTTCTGTTATTTCAGTACAGTTTATGGGTGAGTAGGCAAGGTTTTTGTCATCAGCCTGATCAGGAAGTCTCAAGAGTCTTTCAGGCCTGTGGCAGGACAAGGAGACCAGACTGGGCTATGTTCTGTTTGATTAGTTCGGAGATGGTTAGAGAGCTAACTTCTTGTCCCAGCCAAAGTCCTGAGCAGGTGCCAACTTGATTTCTTGGCTCCTTTATTTTAAGATGAACGTGGGCTGGGCCTCTCTAGGTCAGTGTCCTAGAAGGTTAGCCCAGCTGATTGGAGGTGGTCTTAGTGGGCCCTTGGACAGGCCTGATTCCAGATGTAGTGATACTTCTCTGAACAGGGTTATAAGAAAAGATGTTTGCTAAATATTTGCTGCATGAGTAAATGGTCCAAGTCTCCCAGGACTCCAGTGAGTATTGTTTCTCATGGTAAAGGCCTGGTCTTGCTGATCATTGCCTCATGATAGTCCTGTCCTGCTCTTTTCCCCAGGGTCACTGTGCAGGAGTTGGAGCATTAGGGAACCCCTCTAGCGGGTGGGACACACCTTGGGGATTTAAGGCCAGTGAGCTGGAGTGAGGTTATGCTCACTTGGAGAGATCCAGGTTTGCCTACCTCTTTTCTTGTGTAAAGTATGCCTTATTTTTTTTAGATGACCTTGGGGAAAAGATGGGGAAGAGTATGTCTACACAGATGTGCATGCGCATGCAAAGGGTTGGGCCAAAGAAACTGGGAAAACAGAATTTAGCTGTTGGGAGAGATTGAGGGGAATTCTTTGCTATGTAGATTGTTATGGTAGACACCATATGCTCTCTTGCTCGGCACAGTCATACTGAAATTTTCCTGTTTCTATTTTCAATCATTACCCAAGTATTTATTAAGTAGACACTGTGCTGAATTAAGGATTAGGTCACTAAATAGGACAGAGTTTTTGCCTTCATGGTACTTCCAATCTGGTGGAAATAGTGGGCATTAAACAGGTAATTGCTTCTTAAATATAAAATTATTGTTCTTATATACTTTTACTTCTGCCTGCAGAAATCTTCCATATTCTCGACCCTTTTATGCCGATTCAGTAATCAAGTTCCTAGTTTGTTCCTTTCTTTAGCGAATCCTTTTCTACCTTTGTCCCTGTGCAAAGCTAGCCATGTCCGTCTCTTGGTTGTATCACACCCTGATCACATATCCTTTGCAGCATGTTGTTGTTGTTGTTATGTGCCATCGAGTTGTTTCCGACTCATAGCTACCCTATGCACAACAGCTCTAAACCCTGCTCTATCCTGCGCCAACCGCACCGCATCTGACACACCCATCCCGATTACCCCAGTCA